ACAACATTAACACATTTTAATAAAATACGATTTATAAAATGCAATCAAGAATTCCTTAAATGTAAAAATTATTAATTCAATATTTCATTTAAATCTTTTACAATTTAAAAATTAACAAGTTATTAGCCAGTAAGTAGAGAAAATAGTAAATCCATTATTGGCTTATTAATTAATGGAAAATGTTATTTTGACAACAAAAGTTTGACACAATTTTGACAACGGCGACGTGGCAGCTGTGCATTGGCTCGGTGAACCGGGGTGAGGGGTATTTTGGGTTTTTTCTGGTTTGTTTTCAATTCACTGAGCCAATGCACAGCTGCCACGTCGCCGTTGTCAAAATTGTGTCAAACTTTTGTTGTCCAAATAACATTTTCCTTAATTAATTGTATAAAAAATAAAATAAAACACAGTAAACCTTAAGATGCTTGAGTTAATTTGATGTAATATTATAATAGATGAAGTTGAATTTCTGAGCGTATATATATATAACCACATACACATGTGAAGCAACTCAGAACTTAAGAAAAAAGCAAAGAGTATAATACTAAGAGAGTGGTTCTGATAAAAACAAGAGCTAGCTAACATCTGCAACAATGGTGGTCGCCACAGACAAATCCAATGGCAGAAGTATTCCCGCAACCAACATCTCCCCAAATACGATCATCGAACTTGAGAAGTATTCACTCTTTCATTTCTTTTTCCTCTCAGTAGTACTGTGACGTTCTTGGTTTCTGTGTGAAAATGAGAATGAGTGTGATAGTGTTGTGTGTTATTGGTTTGACAGAGGTGATCCAGCGGTGTTCGAAAAGTACTGGAGAAAGAGGGGAGAGGAATGCAGCATAGTGATAAGAGGATGGGAGATGATGAGTTACCATGGTGATGCGAAGAACAACGTGTGCTGGTACATGTTGCCGGAAGTTGAGAGAAGCATCAGAAGGTTGCATCACGTGGTGGGAAATGCTGTCACCCATGACAGATACATTGTGGTGGGGACAGGAGCAACGCAACTCTTCCAAGCTGCTGTCTTTGCTCTCTCTCCTTCACATCCTTCTAAACCCATCAATGTTCTTGCTGCTGCGCCATTCTACTCGGTGATTCATTATACTCTCTTGCTTCTTCATCTCTCTCTCTCTCTCTCTGTTCTTTTTTTTTTTTTTCTGTCATCCATTACAGACATCACTGATAAAGCATTTTCTGCCTTCTCTGTCAGTGTTTTCAATACTTAATTAGTCATTTAGTTTTTCAGAGTCATGGTTTGAGAAAAGACACACACAAGACACAAACAAGACACAGACATAACAAGAGGTTTTCATCCATATGCTACCATGCATTTTGTTTAATTATTTATTTATTTATTCAAATTAACTGTTTTTTATTGTATTTCAAAATAAGGTTGTTTCCATTAATTTTACGTTCTGTAAACTTTTTCATCCATCTTACATTTGTTTACCCTTTATCCTTATTGCTTTTTACTAATACTAAATTTCATTTTTTTTAAATGATTCTGTCATCCTTTAAAATAATACCAAAATGATTGTACTGATGTAAAAAAAAATTCTCTTAACTTTTTTTTCTAATTTTTTTTACGTATTAGAGTTATCGTTACAAAATATGAATAATAAAATTATTTTGAAAGTACCTAAGAACGACAACAGATTTTAGTAAAGAAATATTAAAGTGGAATGGTAAAAAAAAAATATGTATACTGAAAATAGTTGCGAAAATTAGTGTACGGCTTGAAACTGTTAACGAAAACACAGGATTTTGTCTTTACTAACGGGCATACAGATGGATAATACATATGTTTACATTTTTTTTTTATTTTTTTTCTTAGAATCATTTTATGAATAATATATACTAGTTTATTATATAAAAGATAAAGTAATTAAATATTTTATTTATTTATATTTTGGAAATTGGTTTGTACTAAAAGGATCTATTTGTGAAGGGTTAAACATCTTAAACACAGTTTAATTGGAGTTAGAATATGAGTAGTAATTTTTTTAACTCTATTTAATCATCTTCTCACTATATTTTTTTTTTCTTCATTTTCATAATTTAGAGTAGAATCTCTTTGCAGTATGTGTTGTTTTATTTCCTATCTTTTTTATTCCTTTTACTCACTATGTTTTAATTTATTTTCTATTTTTTAAATTGATATTCTCATTATAAATTTTGTATGAAAAACATCATTAAAGATAAAATAAAAAAGAATAACTTGTGTATATCAAGTGGGAATTTGAATTATAAATTATAAATAAATTAAAAATATTATTGAAAATAAAGTAGGAAAATAGTTTTTATATGTAAGAGAATCATTATTATTATAAAATTATAACTTAAAAACTATTATTAAGAATAAAAGTAATATATATATATATATATATATATAAACTAAATGGAAGAATTTCTACTATGGTTAAAGATTAGAATAGGTGAATATGTTTCTAATTTAGGAAAATTATTGCTTAGCAAAAATAACTTTCATGTTCTCTAAAATTTGGTTTATCACGTGTAAAAATATTTTTTAATAAAGTATTTTATTAATATAATTTTTGCAATAAATTTTTCCTCTCTCATTCCTCTATTTAGTATGGGATTATTTTTACAAACATGAACTCATTGACACAAACGTTGTATTAATTCTTATTTTTATAGCATTAATTAATTTCTCACAGGAGTATTTATTTCTCTTTCTTCTGTGGTACTCTCTCCTCTTCGTTTTTTTATCCTTTTGAAGTGTATGTTTTTAAAATTATTTTTTATTTAATTATCATGTTTAATAATGTAATTATTTATTTATTTATTTATACCTTTACTTAAATATAATATATATATATAT